CAGAATTCTGAGTAGGGTGAAGAAAAATCTTTAATTCTTTAACCGAGTGGCTCCCAGGGAGCCGCTGTCCCCAGAGAAGCAGCAGGTAAGCTGCCCTGGATATGTACCTGTTGGGTCATAGGTCAGGCTGGAGTCAGCATTCTTCTGGAGAGAAAGTATGTGGAGGAGTCAGGTTTTGGATCAGAGCCTGTTTCCCCACCTCATGTGAACCTTGTGCTCCTAGAGCAGAGGTGCCAGGCTGACCCTGGGACTGGGGTAGGGGTGGATCTGCGGGAGGCAGGCTGGCAGCTGAGTGCCCCTTTGCCCTCCCTGGGCCTGGTCCTGACTCCACACAGCCCTCTGTGTCCCTGTGTGTGCTCAGCCCCCTCGCCCTCCTCAGGAGAGGAGGAGGCGGAGTGGGAGATGCTGACCAGCAGCTGCGAGGCCCCCTCCAGCCGGGGTGAGCGGACTGGCTGAGGGTGAGGAAGCAGCCCGGTCCTTGGCTGGCCTCTCTTGCCGGGAGTGTGGCCCCCTCCAGAAGTGGCTTCACGTTCCAGAGCAGGGATCTTTTCCTTGTCTGTGCCATGGACCCCATGGGCATCAATGAGACCTTTATATCCTTCTCCCCATGGTATTTTAAAATGCATGAAATAAAATACAGATGATTACAAGGAAAACCAATTATGTTGAAATGCAGTTATGAAAATGTGAAAAAATAAATTTGTGATATAGTAATATGTGCTTCTTCACTAACACATTAAGTATTAAAGCTAGCAGCAGGTCTAAAACCACCTTAATTCTGAAGTAGTGTGAGCAGAAGTTGCATTTTGAGATACTGCGGCAGCAGTAATGTGATATGATAATACGTGTGCTTTCTGTTGGACGATTCGCACACACACTGCTGATGCTGCTGTAGCTAGTTGCTTACATTAGTAATTGAAGAAAATGTAAATTTAAGAAGTTAGAGAAAACAAAGTTACATTTTTTCCCCATCCAAGTAGATGGAGTCCCTAAATTCTCTGTGTGAATCCCCAAGGGTCCACAGGCCTTGGGAGAGAACCTGTCAGGGGACCATTGAGGGCAGAGGAGGGGGTGGCTCAGTTCTGATTTGGGGGGACAGGGACAGGTTGCTGGAGCAGTGGCATCACACCTTCCCTTGGGGCTGGCCCCACTCGTGGTCACTCTGTTCGTGGCCTTGGCCGCTTACGAGGCCTTGGTGGTTGTCAGGGGGCGGCCGGCCCGTGGGGGCCAGCCCTGGTTCTGTGGGTCTCTGACGCCCTGGAGCCGTTGTCCACCAGCCCCTGCTGTTCTCCCGGGCGTTGCCTGTGTGCTCAGCTGCCCGCACTAAAGCGTGCCTTGTTTACACTGGGCCTCGGGGACGACCTGGCTTTGGCCTTTGACATTCTGGGTGCCAGTTAGCGGAAGCTCCAGCGGAAGCTGGCGCAGGTGTTTTATTAGTGCTGCTTTTGCTGAACTTGCAGGGAGAAGTCACCCGCCGTGGCTCTGGGCCCAGCAGTCTCTTTCAGGGTTTGGTTTATGCCGCGAGAAATCAGAGGGCACGTCTCTATAAACCTGGATTCGGGCGCTCTGCAGTGATGAATGACCACCCCACATCGGCCTGCCGGGTGGCCCAGGCTGGGCTGCCCTTCTCTGTTCTGGCTGAGCCCCATGCAGCGTTAGCTAGGATTGTAGATTTTCTTCGCAGTGGCAGCTGACTGGTCACAGAGAGGGTGCCTTGTTCAGTTTCCTGTCCTTATCTGGGCAGCGTGGCCCTTGGTCTGGAAGGGCCCAGTCTGAGTGTCCTGAGGGATTTAGTCCTGTCAGAAGGTTCTGGACAAGAGGAGGCCCAGCCCTTCGGAGAGCCTTCCAGGTGCGGGCGTGCTGGAGACCAGGTAGAGCTGGTGCTTGTGTGTTGAAGGAGGGCGGCCGGGCAGAGGGCGAGGATGGTGGGATGAGGTGAGCAGGGCTGGGCTCTGCTGGCTGGGGGGCCAAGGTGGGCACTTTCAGCCAGTTGTGCTGTTGAGTCCACGCGGATCGGGGCAACCTCGGCCGAGGCCGTCTGCAGCCGTGCCTCGGTGTCGTTCCCTCTGTGCTGCTGAGGAGTTTGTGGAGATGAGGTTCTTCTCTTGCCCACCCCCTCTCGTGGGCTGTGCTGAGTGAGGGAAGGAGTGGGGGGCTGTGGGGCACCCTGTGCAGGGGTGCTGGCGGCTGCACTTTCAGTTCCTGACAGCGTGGCCAGCTGGGATGCCGGCGTGTTTGCACGCTGTCGCCTCTGCCCCTTCATCCTTATAGTGGCCCGGCTTAGAGGAAGCCCTGGCCTCTTGTGTCCGCCCTCCTGGCGGGCGAGTGAGGGCCTGGGCCTGGGGAGGAGGGGGGACTTCCAGTCCTGACAGCGTGTGTGGGGTGTGCACGACCCTCCACCCTTCCTGGCCAGGCCAGGGCCCGAGGGTTCTTCCTGTCCTGCTGGGGCTGATGCGGCAACTTCTGCCCTGCACAGCTGTGTGTGGCCCACGTTGTGGCAGCTGTTCACTCAGCAAATATTTATTGAGCACTTGCGGGGTGGCAGACAGGGTGACCAGAGCAGAGCCAGGTCTCTGTCATCAGGGGGTTCCATTCCAGTGGGTGGAGGCGGACTCACCAGTGAGCTCCAGCAAACACCCTGCATTTATGTTAGCAGGTGGAATGTATCCCTTCAGCCAGGGACCTGCCTGAGCCGGTAGTTCACTCACAGGGGTGACTGAAGAGTTAATGCAGGGTCGGTTTACAGAGCTGTGGGCAGGGTCCGGGAGCTGGGAGAGGAGAGGGGGGCAGCTGGTCAGGAACCAGCGGGGCTGTGCCGTGGCCCGGGTGGAGGGACTACCCGCCATGGGCCATCGTAGCTCCAGGGTCCCGCATGGAGGGAGCCGGGGAGTGGATTCTCCGTCCTCCTCCCTCTTCTCCTCCCGCTCCTGCCCCCTCCAGTCTCCTGGGGGGCCTCCCACTGGCTAGCCCCCCTAGAGGCCAGAGGCAGGGAGCATGCTGCTAAAGTTCTTGTAGGCCAGCCCCGGGCAGAGCAGGGGAGAGCAGATCCAGAGGGTGAGTGGAGGAAACCCAGCCCTGTGCTAAGTGGGGCATGGGCAGGGGAGAGAGCTGCAGGTTTAAGGGGGAAGCCAGGAGGGCCACCCAGAGCAGCTGCCATTGGAGCCAAGATGTGCAGGAGGTGTCACCTGTTTGTGTGTCCCTGGCCAGGTGAGCGTGGGAGGTTCCCGAGGCCTCTCCATGCCGCATGCTGTGAGGGAAGGGTCCATCTGCCCTGCTGTCACTGCAGTCCGGGCAGGGTCCTCTCTTGTGCCAGCTCAGGCTGTCCCTGCCCTCCTCTATTTCCATGCCCACTCGCTCCCGCTGGCCAGAGAGCACCTGCCTAACTCCTCCTGTACCCCCTGGGCTTGCCCACCCACCTTCCTAGCCCAGCTCACTGCTGGGACTGCCCTTCCTTCCTCCTTTAGTTCTTCATTCTGCCCCTAATCATTCATTCTGCCCTCTTTTAGGCGCCGGGAAGGAGGCAAGGGCCCTGCCTACCGGAGCTTACATTTTACCTGGGGAGACAGGCGAGGAAATAGATACTGTTAGGCAGTGATGCATGCTCTAGAGAGGAATGAAGGGAGAAGGGGATAAGGTTTGGATGGGGATATGGAAAAGCTTCTGGGAAGAGGGGGGCATTTCTGCAGAGGCCTGGATAAAGCGAGAACTGGAGCCATGTGGGCACTGGGAGAAGAACACCCCCAGAGGGAACAGCAGTGGCCAAGGCCCTGAGTGGGAGCGTTCTCAGTGCTCAGGGTAGAGCAGCGAAGAGCGAGAAGGCCTGTCCATTCTTGGGGGGCTGGACCCCTTAGCACCTCGTGGCTGGGGAGTAAGCCTGCACTTTGTTCAAGTGCAGTAGGAAGTCGGAGGGGTGAGCAGGGCAATGCCTGCTCGGATTTGCATTTGTAAAGGGTCCCTCCAGGTGGGTGCCCACAGGCTGTGGGGGAAGCTGGGACTGAGAGAGCAGTGACCAGGTCCCTGCAGGTGTCCAGGCGGGAGGTGCGGAGGGAGGTGGGGATGAGCCACGCTGGGGAGGAAGGGGTCAGATGCTGGCTGAGTGTTGAAGGGAGGGGAGACAGGCTTTGCTGGTGGGTTGGAGATGGAATGAGAGAGAGTTGAGGATGGCCCTGGCCACTGAGAGGGCAGAGCAGCCTTTCTGTGAAGTGAGGGGGTGGGGAGGGGTGGGTTTGGTGGAGCAGAAGAGGGCGGGCCGTTTGGAAAGGGGTGCCGGGTGGCAGTGGCATTTGTGAATTTGGAAGGGATGTCATGGGCCTGTGGGGGTCCGTGGTACTTAAAGCCGAGGGCGCGGGTGGGCTTGGCTGTGCTGGGGGAGGGAGTGCAGTTAGGTTAGAGGTCCGGGACCCAGCCCTGGGGCTCCAGCGTGGTGGTCAGCTGAGGAGGGAGGGAGACCGAGGGTAGGAGAGCCTGGAGGGGCTGGTGCTGGGCAGGGTTTCAGCAGAGAGTGGCTCCCAGTGTCCTGGGCACCAAGAGGCCCATTGAGGCCTGGGAACCCATCTGCCTGGGGTCATTGTGGCCCGGCAGGGGCTGCAGTGTGGGAGGGGGTGGGCCAAGGCCTGATGGGGTGGACGGAGGAGAGCATGGGTGGCCAGGACATGGGGGCGGTGTGCTTGGGTGACCCTTCAGAGGATATTTACCACAAAGGGGGGAGGGAGATAGGCTGCTGGAGGGCATGAAAGGGGCCAAGGGAAGTGTTTTTCTTTTTTTTTTTTGTTAAGACGGGCGAGGTTCCTGTACGTCTGGATGCTGGGAATGATCCTGCAGGGGGAAAATGGATGCTGAATAGGTATGGGGGGGCCAGGGCACGCCCAGGCGGAGGAGAATTCCCAGTGGGAGCAGCTGGGTGGAGGGTCCAGGGGCAGGTGGGGTCTGGGGAGTGGGTGCCGGGAGGATCAGCTGTGTTTTCTCGGTGAAAAGGAAAGCCAGTGTGGGGGTGATGAGAGATGCCCACCTGCCCCACCCAGCGCAGCCCGGCCTCCCATGAGCTCTCAGCAGCTGTCCCTTGCTGGCTGCTCTCCTCAAGGTTAGCACCCCTGGGGCTGCCACTCACAGGGCCATGTCGCCATGGTTCCCCTTCAGTCACTCAGCACATACTCGTTGGGCTCTGCTCAGGGCCTGGCCTGATGCTGGGTGCCCTGGTGTGTGTGTGTGTGTGTTGGGGACCGGTGGGGGTCCCGTCCCAGCTGAGGAACAACCAGCCCAGGCTGTGGGGTCTGTGACTCGCAGAGAAGATGGCAGCCTGTGGGCTCGTGGGCAGGGACTGAGTGTTGTCTGGGCCAGATCACGTGTTTCTCGCATGGAAGTTCCTTGAGGGTGGGAGTTGAGTGGGTGTGTCTTCAAACCATTGCAGGCTTTCCCTCCAGGGGTCTCACCTGCCCTCTGGTTAAACAGCCCCAGCTGTCCTGTCCCCATTTGTGGTCCAGTGCTCGGGGACAGCAGGGGACGGTGTGGTTGACAAGCCGCTGTGGTCCTCAGGTGGCCCAGTAAGGGGCTGTTTCTGAGTCACAGGCAGGTCGAGCTTGGACTAGCTTGCCACGTGCTGATGGGGGTCCCACGGCAGGCTTGCCCCTCAGTCGCCTGAGACCACAGGTGGGAGACGTGCTCGGCGGTGCTGACAGGCCTGTGTGGCATTGTGTGCTCGTGTCTTTGCAGACCTTCGTTTTGGCTGGGGAACGAGACCCTGAAGGTGCCACTGGCGCTCTTTGCGCTGAACAGGCGGCGCCTGTGTGAGCGCCTGCAGAAGAACCCGGCCGTGCAGGCCCGCTCTGTCGTGCTGCTGCAGGGCGGGGAGCAGACCCAGCGCTACTGCACCGACACCGACGTCCTCTTCCGCCAGGTGAGCCCTCCAGCAGCTTCCTGCACCCCCGACTCCGAGCTGGCACTGGGCCTCCTGTGGGCCTGTCCCCCCTCCTCCGGCACTGGGCCTGGTGAATGTGGAGCAGTTTTGTCCCCCTCCCCTAGGGGGCCCTGGAGAGGCCCTCTGAAAGCAGACCGGGGCCTGGGAGCCCAGGGAGCCAGCATTCCAGGAGGCAGAGCTATCACCAGCCAGCTTCAGCTCTCTCAGGTCAGAGTACAGAAAGATGATATTCCTGGGGGAGCAAGCAAGCAAGGCTTCATGGAAGAGGCAGCATTTGGTGTGGGCCCTGAAGGCTAGGGTGAATTCTGACAGGTAGAGCTGGGGGGAGGTGGGTGTTCCAGGTGGGAGGATGGTATCCACAGGAATGAATGAGCAGAGGGTGGGCTGGGCAGCTTTCCCTGGCTGGGGAGAGGTGCAGAACGGGAGGGCTGAGTTCAGAGTCTGCCTGCAACAAGAGGACGGGGGTGCAGAGGTCTGGGAGACGGCGTGTGGCTGGGCAGCTCATCTGAGCAGGTGCTGAGCAGGAGTCAGAGGCCAGGGCTTTTGTCCCAGCTTGGCCAGTGCTGATCCTGTGATCCTCACTGGGCCTTGGCCTTGGTTTGCTCCCTTGGGAAGTGGTCCAGGGGCCCTCTGAGGTTTTGGAACCCTGTGGGGTATGGGCAGCCCAGCTGTAGGAAGCCAGCCTGGATGTGATGGCCTTGCCTGAGAAACGCTGGCATCACTCAGTTCCCAGGAACAGGAGCAAGGACACCTGACAGAAGGGCTCACCCAAAAGTCAGGGAGACCCTGAGCTGGCCCCACTCTTGTTGATCCTAGCATTGTACCCACTTTACAGATGAGGAAACCGAGGCTCAGAGGGGAAAGGACTTCGCAGAGCTGGAGTTGGAATTAATTAGAACCCCATCTCCCAACTCCAAGTCTGGTGGTGTCTTCTCCCTGCCAAGCCCAGAGCTGGGGCCGGCCGCAGCAGGACCCAGAACCTCCCTGGGGGCGGGCAGAGCCTAGGGCCATGGCCATCCAGCATCCAGGTCAGGGAGGAGGCAGGGGATCGTGAAGGGGAGCTGAGTGTGGAGAGGAGGGGACAAGGCATGACCTCCCCAGCTGGGCTATCCGCCCCACAGGGCACAGACTGGCCAAGATCTGCCGCTGACAGTGATTGCGCAGGGTTTCTTACTAAAGGCACCTTCTGCTGGCAGGCTTCCCTTCACCACGTAGTTCTGCCAGCCTCAAGCCTGCAGTCTTCTGGTTGCTGGAGACATGGAGGTCTAAATAAATTTTTTCTGACTAATCTTGGTGCTTCTTGAGGTTTATGTATTCTGTGGATTAAAAACCGATCTCTTGAATTCAGCTGTTGGCTCCCTTACTGATGTTATGCAAGGTTAATTTTAGAAGAAATCTTCCTCCACTTAATAACTTTATAGTGTTATTTTAGCTCAGTGTTTATTGCTAGACACTGAAGTCATCAGTTCCCTGGGGGTGGGAGAAGGAAGAAAGAAATCCTAAATGGAGGAATCCATTTCCGGGCCGACGTTGGCCTGGGTGTCTGGGTGGCATCTCGCCTGCCTGGGGGCAGTGGGGGTGGCAGAGAGGTGTGGGCAGGGCTGAGCCAGACCTGTGGTGCCGGTGGGCGCCCGTGTCTTGGTGTGACCTGTCAGAGGCCGTAGGGGTGTGGCTGGTGAGGTGGGGGTGCAGGCGGGGCTGGGGCATCATCAGAGGAGCCAGCCAGACTGCCCCCTGCCGGATCCTGGAAGGACAAGGTGGGCAGCCTGCAGCTGGAGCGAGGAGCAGAGTGCCGAGGTGGAGGGGTGTGTGAGGCCAGGGGTCAGTCTCTGAGGACGGTGGGCCTGAGCTGACTCTCTGGGATCGGGAAGGAAGGCACGCGGCCCGCTGCCCCATCTGGCTCCCTGTGTCTCATGCTTCTGTCCTGCTGACTGGGTGACCGGGGTCCTTGTTCCCGCCACAGGAGTCCTTCTTTCACTGGGCATTTGGCGTTACCGAGCCAGACTGCTACGGCGCGATCGACGTCGACACCGGGAAGTCGACCCTGTTTGTGCCCAGGCTTCCTGCCAGCTATGCCACCTGGTTGGGAAAGTAAGGAGCAGTCCGGGCGGTGTGACGGTGCCTGCTGACCTCTGGCCGGCAGGCGGGTGCGGGGCTGGCTCGTGGGTGGCAAGGAGGGAAAGCATAGCAGGAGGGAGGGTTGTGTTCAGGCCCCTTGATGGCCTGCTCTGGGCCAGAGCCCTGCACCCTTGGTTGGGAAGGGGTGCCAGCTGGAGCCCCAGGCTGTGGTCATGTTTGTGTGGAGGTATTGTTTATTAATCTTGACGTCCTGGATGCCCAGCTTTGTTAAAACGCCTGAGGCTGTGGCCCCCGTGGACTGTCACTCCTGCATGGCATCCACAGGAGGTGGCTACACCTTGGGTGTGGTGGGGGTTGGTTGGGGCAGGGAGGGCAGCCCGGGGCCCTTCTTGGAGGCCCGTCACTAATGTGCAGGGCGTTACTGGATGCCTGCTGTGTGCCCACCTCGGGCTGAGCTATGTGGAGCCATAGATGTGGGCCCTGGCTCCGTCGGCTCACCTGTGAGAGAGGCAGGGCAGTGGCTCCAGGGTTGTGCTATGTGAGAAGAGCTGGCCCAGAGGCCCCTCCCCCATCGTCCACAGCACCCGCCAGTTCTGGGGCCCTCGGCCGTGTCCACCCCTCCTGGGAGCCGTTCCTGCCTGCTCAGAGCCGCTGAGGCAGAGCTGTGCTTAACGGGGACGCTTGAGGTGATCAGAGGATCCGGCTAAATGCTCGCCACCTTCCGGGGTGTCATTTCTGCCTGGAGAGTGATTATTCTGGGCTGATGCATAAATTGCAGCCTTCGCTGCCTTGTGTCCCAAGTGCTCATTACTGGGGGTGCAGGCGGATCTGTGGCTGGTTTGAATGACGAGGCTGCTGCAGGGACACCTCCCTGAGCCGAGGGCCAGGGCGGGGCCTCCGCGCTTCCTCTGCTTCATGCATCGTCCTCCCCCACCAGCCCTTCGGTGCACACTCCACAGCCTCTTTTGTGAGCCTGGTGTGTACCTCCTCTGCCGTCTTGGGGTGAGGACTTCAGGCTCCCAAGTTGGCAACAGTTCTGCTCTGAGGCTGCTGGGCAGGATCCCTGGCCAGGGGCCTTTGGCTTCACTGTGAAGACTCGGCTTCAAGCAGAATCGGCAGCAGAAGAGAAGCAGGCCGTGCTTCCCCTGGCGGGCTGTTTTCCTGGCCCTGGGGAGGAAGGGCGGAGGGTGGACATGCCCCATGCAGCCGGCCTTTGGGGTGGGTGGCTGGGCTGCCACTAAGGTCCTGGCCCTCTCAGAGGCCCCTGGGGCAGACGGCATAAACTTTTTCCTGCTGCGTAATGAGCAGGTTTCCACTGGCCTTCATGCCTGGGTTAGCAAGGGCGCTGGAAGGTTGTGCTGCCTCCTTCCCAGAGGGAGGACGGGGCATTGGGCATGGCTGAGCCGGGGTACAGAGAGCCCTCAGAGGCTCCGCTCTGCCCCAGGCCTGGGTGGGGATGCGGAGGGGGTTCTGGGGAGGAGGCCGGCCAGGGTAGATGTGTGCTCTGTCCTCTGGACCTCTCTCCTGCTCTGCCACCGTGTGCCTTGTACTTGCTGAGAAATCAGCCTCAGGTTTGGCCTGGGGCAGGCTCTCCTCAGTCCATTCATCCTGGGCCCCTCCTCCTGCTATCAGCAGATCCAGGCCAGGAGACGTGGGTGCTCCTGGGAAGGTGGTTCCCACCCAGCTCTGGCCTCCCCATCCTGTTGTGTCCTTTACTTTTGACCTTTATTCTATTCCTGGCTGAAGCCTTAGGACTGCCCTGTTACAAAGAGGAAACGGGCTCAGCGTGGTAGTGTGGCCTGTGTGGGTCCCGTGGCCGGGTTTTGTGGGAAGCTTACCTGACAGCTCAGCGTGGCCTCTCCGTACAAGTCATGGGGCTTGTGAGCGGGTCTGGCCGCTGTTGGGGCCTCTGATTCCTTATCTGTGGAACCTCGACGATACTGCTCATGAAGCACTGCCAGGGCTGTAGTTACAGTGCTGGTCACTGTGGGGACAGGTACACTGTGACACTGAGATGAGGTGGTGAGAATGCCGGGGACAAGCAGATTGTAATGTCCCAAAATGGCCACAGCAATATTTGTGGCCATTCCCTATGGAGAGGTGGAATCTTTTCCCTCCTGCTTGACTCTGGTCAGGACCTGGTGACCCCGTCAATGTGTGAACCTGGCAGGGTCACTGCCTGACTTCTGAGGCTAGACTATAAAGTGCACTATGGCTTCCACCTGGTTCTCGCTCGTGGGACACTCACTCTGGAACCCAGTGCCATGCCGGGAGGAAGCCCAAACACGCCCGTGTGGAGAGACCACGTAGAGAGGAGCGGAGGCCTGGCTGACAGCCAGCACCACCCCCTAGAGCGGGTGACTCCAGGCCCCCGCCCTCAAGTCTTTCTGCTGAGGCCCCAGACCTCACAGCAGAGAGAAGCCATCCTCCCAGGACTCTGTCCCAACCCTGTCAGAGTCCGGGAACGTGGTAGATGGTTTCTCACTCCCCTGCGTGTCGGGGTGCTTTATTACGCAGCCCTGGTAACTGGAACAGCTGTGGGGAGGAGTTTCCTGGTGAGAGGTTAGATCTGGTCCTTTAAGCGGATTCTCCCAGAACCCTTCCTGCACCCTGAGGGACCACAGAGCTGTAGCCGCAGCCCTTCCTGGTGTGTGTGGGTTTTTTTTTGTGAGGAAGATCAGTCCTGAACTAACATCCGATGCCAATCCTTCTTTTTTTTTGCTGAGGGAGATTGGCCCTGTGCTAACATCCGTGCCCATCTTCCTCCACTTTATATGTGACACCGCCACAGCATGGCTTGACAAGCGGTGCGTCGGTGCATGCCTGGGATCCGAACCTGCGAACCCCGGGCCACCGCAGCGGAGTGCGCACTCAACTGCTTCACCACCAGGCCGGCCCCTGCTTCTTGTTTTGAAGAGCTGACTCTTGCGAGAAGTCGAGGAGTGCCTGTTCGTGGGTGGAGGGTGGACATCCTCCAGGGCTGTGGGTGGAGAGGCCTGGTCCCTGCCTTGGAGACCCCACTGTCCAGTGGGCAAACCCGAGCAAATCTGACCACGTCTCCCACGGCCACCATCTGGGGAGCCGAATGGCCCTTGACTTGAGGATTTAAAACCGAGGACCTGATTGGTCAGGGAACAGCTGTTGGCAGTTGGCTTTTCTGGAGCGTGATTGTCATTAATACAGAGTTCTGCACCTTGGCCAGGGCTGCATTTCATTCAGAGCCACTGTTAAAAGTTCTCCTTTAGTCTATCCCTGCTTTGCTGAGCCAGTGGATTGTCTAGTGCAGACATACGGGCTTGGGTGACCTCTGAGGGTACAGGTGGGTCTGCCCTGTTGGAAAGGCTCCGTGTGCACGCTGGGCAGGCCAAACCAGACTGAGCAGCCCAGTCCCGAGGGGCATTCGGGCCCCACAGCAGAGCTATTCTCCTGTCTCCTGCAGACCTGGCTCCCGCCCTGGCCACCCTGCAGCCCTTTCCCTTCCTCTACTGTGGTGTGACCCTCTCTGGTCCCCGTGTCTGAGTCTTGGAGGGAGAAGGCGGTGGGGAAGGGGTTGGTTGGTTGGGGCCGGAGTTGGGGAGTGGCCGGATCCGATGGTGTGGCTGTTTGCAGACACTCCTAATCGGTAGAGCTGGAGCGAGGCTGATGGGGTTACCTGGCCTTCACAATAAAACCCACCAGAAGGACGCTTGACCTTCAGCTGCTCAGCTTCCTCTTGAGTTGCTATCTGACGGCTTTTGGCCGTCTGGCAGATTCTGCCGTCCAAGTCGTCCAGGGAAGCAACACCCCCAGCTGTAGATCTGCCACTTCCATGTGAGCGCCGTTCCTGTGTCAGGGCTGCAGACGCCACGGGGCCTCTGGGCAGCCTGGTGCCCAGCCTGTCCCTCACCCCAGGCCCTTTTTGGGGTGGGAGTGTGGTAGCTTCTAATTTGTTTTTATTTGGAATCTTTGCTTACAAGAGTTTGGTGCCTCTTTAATGGGAGAGTGTTTCCTATCGTTTTTGTCAGGATCAGGCTTAGCCGATGGCAGCTTTGGCTGCCTGGGGCTCTGGGTCCTCTGAGCAGGCAGGAAATTGCCTCTGTGATCAACACCCTGGGTAGCTTCAGTGCCCACAGAGGGTGAGTGACTTGGGGCCAAGTTGGGGGACCCTCCCAGAACCTTTGCAGCTTTGCTGTGTTCTGTTTCCGTCCCTGGCTGAGACCCTGGGGCTTGGAATGTGAGACAGTCTGCCTGGCCTGGGCTTTGTAGGGAGCAGGGTCCCTATCCCACTGAGGGCACTGCCCAGGAGAGGTGTGAGTGAGACTCCAGGGCTGAGGACCAGGCTCTGAGCACTGCTCTTTTTGGTTCTGGAACCAGTGTGTGTGGGGGGAGGGGGGAGGGGAGCGGGGAGGGGGATAGTGTGTTTGGGGTGTGGTCTGTGTGTGGGGTGTGTGGGTGGGTGTATGTAGGGTGGGGTGTGTGTTGTGGTGTGTTATGTGTGGCATGTATATGTGGGGTGGGGTGTGTGTGGGGGGTGTTTGTGTATGGTGTGTCTGTGGGGTAGGGTATGTGTGGTGTGGGGTGTGTGTGTCATGTGGTATGTGTGTGTATGTGGGGCTGTGGCGTGTGTGCATGGTTTTTCAGAGCCACTGCCCCCCACCCTATACACACACCTGGGTCATGAGGACCAAGGCTGCCTCATCCTGTCTGGTGGCCTCGCGGCAGCTCTGTTTGTCTTCAGGGACAGGATATGGGGCACTAACGAGGGGCCAGGCCTTCCTGAGAAGGGCCGAGAGAATTCCTCTGGCTCTTACTCCAGGAGGTTTGCGGAGAGCCTGACCCGGGGCAGCCCGAGGCCTGGCTAGTCGGGCTCCTCCCCCTGGGCTGGGCTGACTGCGGGCCGTATTCCCATCACCTCTCCTGCCTGAGCCGCAGACCCTCCGGCCTGGCTGAGGAGGCCCCGCTGAGAAGTGCTGCCGGCCCGCTCCATCTACCCCTCACGGTGCCGTCTCTGGGATAGGCACCATGCTGCTTGCAGAGATCTGCTTCTCTCTGACGAGTTCTTGAACCGTGAGATGGTTGCTGGACTTCCCTTCCGGGGTGAGTGCCGGGCGTTGTGAGGGGAGCAGAGGGACAGGCAGCCGCATTGGTGTGGCTGAAGGCCGACTCGGCAGCTGGAAATGGATGGTGACGGCTGTAATTTGGCCTGTTACTTATTCATTAACTGCGTGCAGCTAGCCGGCAAGACCTGTGCATGGAAATTTCATTTTCCAGAGGGCTCCGCCGTGTCTGCGCCTTGGGCATCGATTTCACGTCTCCCAGCAGGAGGCCCCACCGGGTGTTGGTTCCTCTGCGTCAGCCCTGCCCTGAGCCCTGGGAGAAGACCCCTCTGACTCCTGCCCGGCCCAGCTGCCTGTGGGGGAGGCCTACACGGCTGGGTCCCTGGATGCTGGCCCCATCTCGAGGGCACGAACTCCTTGGAGTGGCTCGCTCGCTCCTCTTTCCTGCCAAAGCTGTCCCTTCCGTCTGAAGGGAGAGTTTCTGGGGTGAGGTTGGCTTCCCTGCTGACCCACCCTTTCCTGGTCCAGATGCTTCTGTTTGATCTCCCATATGGTGGAGCTGGCAGGAGCTGCCCTGCTGGACCCCAAACTCCAGCCAGGGCAGGGTGCAGGTCCTCCACATGGCCACTGCCACTGGCCCTCAGTGGGTGATAGCTCCCCAGGGACCTCTCCAGCCAGCTCCACAGGGCTAACGTGGACATGCCATTCCTCACGTCAGCCCCACCAAATCATGGCTGCCGAGCCTCCAGTGGCTGGCTTGGCGTGTTAGGCTGGCACATTTATCCCTTAGGGTGACATTTAAAGATTTTTACTGTAATTAGCCCCCAAAACATGAAAAATAAGTACTATTCAAACTTAATTATCTCTGCCCTTTAGAAAAGAATGACATACAAAATGCCAGAAAAGATGCTCACAGCTTTTCAGGTTCTCTCTGTCAAATGGTTATTCCTGTTGGGAACCAGGCCTGTGGCTGGTTGGGCCATTTTGGCCCTGGAGGCTCAGTGTGTGCTCTGGCTGGACTGTGCCATCTCGCTTCACTGAGGAGGGCAAAGGGCATTTGGTGGGGCTGGCACCTGCACTCACGTCCTCCCAGACATCAGGGCGGCAGCAGCAGGCTTTCCTGTGGGCTGGCTGGTGGCTCTTTGGCTCCTGTGGCAAGTCGAATGGCTCGTGGCTGGTAGGCAAGGGGTGGACAGGTGAGCACACAGCCCTGGGCCTGCCCACAGATCACGGCTGCCTTGTGTTCGCCTCGTTTATGCCCCCTCCTTCCCCCACCGCCTCTGGTTCCACACTCTTAAGATCTTGACCTCAGGCTGAGTACACGGAGATGTTCCCGGGTCCCAAGTCTCCCAGGTCTCTGCCGAGGCCTGACCACCAACACTCTTGGGCAGGGCAGTCAGAGTGGACGTGGTGGTGACGCTGATGGCCCTGCCGCTTAGCTTTCTGGCACGTGCTTTTGTGCACAGCCGCTGGGTCCGCTCAGTGCTGACAGTGTCACCACCTGGCGGCACCGGGTCAGCGAGCCCTCCGCGGTGAGCCCTGGGAGGGAGCCTCCAGCGTCTGGGTGAGGTGCTTGTTGTCAGTCCCTGCCCCGTAGCTGCTTCAGGCGTGCTAATGGAGGCACCAGACTCTGGCCATTTAACTTGTGAGTTCTGTCTCAAACGTGGAGGCTAGTGCGACTGGCTTGTGCAAATTTGATAAATGGCAGGAACTTGACACTCAGTGCCCACTGCAGAGAAGCAGGAAGGGACATAAAGCAGAGTGTTCTGGGGCCCTGAGCAGCCCGTTGCAGTGAGACCATCGTCTCCTCGGCTGGCTCGCCGCGTGTAAGCTCCCTGCTGCTGGTCGCCGAGGCCCACCCATCTGTCCCCGGTCCGTGCTCTGTGCTTCCTGGCCACAGTCTGGTCTGGGATGCTTGTTTGGGTTGGGTGGAGAGGGAAGTGGTGCAGGGCTTGGAGAGGGGACTGGGATTCTGTTTCCTGGGCAGTGATGCTGGTCCTTGGTGTCTCAAAGGCACATGGAGGTCGCTCTTTGAGGGGTCGTCTCCGAGTCCTGAAGTACTCCCCCTCCCTGTCCCCTCTGGGCCCCCCCACACTGTCCTTGGCACACCACCCCCTGTCATCTGCTCACCCTTGAGAAGCCAGGAAGCACCATCTGGAAACCATCTGCTGTTTTCTCCTGAGGCCTCTTTCGGATCTAACACTTGGTGACTAGAATACCGTGTGATCACAGGCAGGATGGGGGTAACCCTCCGGTGCTGATGCCCAGCGTGGGACGGTGCAGGACGTGTGTGTGCGTCATTAGATTTGGCTTGTGACACTCTCCCCCCATGCGGCTAGTGCTCCTCCTCTGTGAGCTCCGTCACCAGCAATGACATTGACTCATCTGCCAACCAAGGGGCTGGGGGTGGGGGTGGTGCTTGCTGGACCGGCCAGAACCCTGCCCAGTGCAGCCATGCCCAGGAGCCCTTTGTGAGCTGGGCCCCACCTCCTCCGCCCTGTGTCTCTGTGTGCTCACCTGCTCGTTGCTCAGGGATGGTGAGTAAGCTTGAGTGTTTCTCATCACTGTGAGTAATACTGATATTGACTTCTTTAAAATGTTAATTTTTAAACTTTCCTTCAAAGAGACTCCATGGGGGCCTGGGAGGCAGCTTAGTTCATGCCCCGAAGGTTGGGGTGTGCTGGCTGGCTGCCCGGTGGGCTCTCCCCAGCAGTGGAGGGAGAAGGTTTGTCTGCAGCTGCTTGCTGCAGGTGGCCGGGGTCACGGACTTGAAGGAGGAGCAGGAGCAGGGGTCGGCTGGGTGAGGTTGAGAGAGGCAAGTGTGGTTCAGTGGTCATTCCGTGGCCCAGTGCCCTTTGCCCCCCAAGTCTCTTGGGCAGACCTGCTTGGTGCCAGGTGCCAGCCAGGGCAGGGATGGCCCAGGGCTTCGTGGCCTGGGCTTTGGGGCGGGAAGGCAGCCTGTGCTGAGCCGTGGCCAAACTCTGACCCTGGCGTTCCTTGTGCTTCCCTTTGAGGATCCACTCCAAGGAGCACTTCAAGGAGAAGTACGCTGTGGACGACGTCCAGCACACAGACGAGGTCAGCAGCCGCCGACTCCTCTCTGAGCAGCTCAGGGCTTCCGGTCACCTGGTCACCTCTCTGCCCTGGATTCCCTCTTCTCCTGCGCCTACAGCCAGGCTGGATGTCCCAGGACGCCACCGCCTGGCCTTTAGCGCCCCCAGCAGTGCCCTGATTTGGAGACAGCAGACAGGAAGCATGCACCTCAGACCTCCCTGAGGAGGCCCCTCCTCTGCCTGGGCAGCGCCCCTGACTCAGGGGCTGGAAGTGTCTGGTACCTGGGTTGTGGCCGCTGAGCTGCACAGGGCGAGGACGTCTCTGGGAGGGTCTGATCAAGGTGCCCCCCAGGCTCGTTCTGGGCCGTCACGTGTCGGGATGCCCTCCCCACAGGCCCTCTCCAGCTGTCACAAAAGCCCCAGACTGCGAGAGGCTCGTGGGGTGGCGTGGGGTGGAGGTCCCCTGGCTTTAATCCACTTCCCGGCGTGGTTGCCCAGCGGTGTTGTTTAGCCTGGGTGGGTGTGTGACTGTCCTCCTGGGGCTTTGAATCTGTCCCGAATCCAGGCAGTCAGAGGGGCTGCCCCTGACGTCCGTGCTGATAGGCCAGGGCTACAGAGGGTGAGAGCATAGCTGTGTACCCCCATGGTCTCCCTGGGTGACCAAGGCCCCCCAACACTGCAGCCACTGCCAGGCACACAGGAGACCTCCCTGCTCCATCCCTGGGTGTTGTCACAATGCCATGCTCTGTGCAGATCAGTGCTGGGTAGAACAAACACCCAGAGGTCAGTGCCTGCTGCTCCAGGTCCAGCCCTGGTGTGGCAGGGTCAGCTGGACGGGGCCCTCCCGTGCCACGTTTCCCCAGATGGGGGTCACCTGTGTCTGTGCACTAAGAGCTGGGGGTGGAGTATGGAAGCAGCCAGAGGAGCCAGCCAGCCAGCTGGAGGCCGGCAGCTCCCCTTCCCCTGGACAGGACACAGATGTGTCGGGGAACGACAGCACCGGGTGACAGGCAGGTTCCCTGGGATCCTGCCAGACCCATCACTGTGAGGGACCAGTGTGTCTCAGCCCAGAGTTGGGGCCCGGCCTTCCCTGCTTGGGGACAGACAGCTCTCCTTGATGAACACGTGTGCCGGCCCCAGGTGGAGCGGCGTCAGTACCATCCTGTACACAGGCAGTTCTGCTGACCTGGAATGCCATGCCCACTTCTCTGACTGGCCGTATCCTGCCCATCCTCCAAAGCCTTGTGCCAGCCCACTGCCTCCCCTGCCAGCTTCGGCTCACACTGGTGCCCCTCCCCTGGCTCATGGGACCAGTTGTGGACTGGTGGACACTGGCTGGGTTCTGGTCTGTACCCTCCCCTTTACTGTCTTGTGTTTGTTACTAAGGCCCAGGTCTTTTTCCCAGATGTTATTCTCACACTCGCTGCCTGCCAGGTCCCAGGGATGTGAGGGCATCAGAGCTAGTTGAGACCCAGGGCTGAACTCAGCAGCTAGGGGCACGGTCTGGTGCAGAAGGTGACCAACTGCATGGGTGAGTGGTCACCGCAGTGTGGTGGTGCCTGGCTGGGAGGGCCTCAGCGGAGGAGTGCAGCTCACGCCCACAGGGCCACGGGGGCCTGTTTCTGCAGCACCTCCTCCTGGAAGGGGGGCTTTTGATGGATCTTTATGTCGTGTGATTTCAATACCAAGTTTTGGAGGCGACTCATAGCGTCTGAAGTCTGTTAATACACACGTGACCTGTTGTATTGATCTCTTTGGGTATAGGGTCTCAAATAGTCTGACGTTTATTCATGTGCCCCTGATGAGGTCATTTGCCACTTACCTCGTATTTCTAAGCACCAGAGAGGGAGGGACCTGCTCATCCGTAGTTCTCATTTTGTTCCTGACCCTCTCTGGCAGGCGTATCCCTCTGCTCCGTGAACTGCATCTTAACATATCGCCCTTTGGGACCTTGGCCTTCCAGGTCTGCTCGGTGTGACGCCTGGCGGGGGCAGCCTGGGCCCGGCCCTGGGGCACGTACCCGCCTCACGGGGACTCAGCCCACTGAGTCAGAGCGTCTCTGTGCCGCAGCCTGCCCACCTGCAGTCTGACGTTTTTGCTTTTATGACTGGGGGGAACTCAGCTCTACTGATACTGTGATTTCTGGGGAGAAGAAGGAGAACTGGTCTCCAGATGCAGTAAAACAGAGGAGGTCTGGAGTGTCAGAACAGAGAGCCCGTAATGATGTGTCGAGTTACAGCCCCCAGACCAGCTCGTTCAGAGTCTGTGTTTATGAAGCAGAAGGCTTCAGTGAGTTCAGAGGACAGACTCTCTTTCGGGTTTGGGAGCTTTTTGCAGCGCCCCGTCATCATCATTAATCAGTTTTGTCTGGTTCTTATTGGAAACGGGGGCTCCTGTTGACAATGGGAGAGGTGCTTCACCCGGGGGTGGCACCTGCGGGTTCCAGTAACATCGACATCTCACATGGATCGCCTGACCCCTCCCGCCCTGTCCCGTGGCGGGGCCACAGCTCTCACGCCATCACAGAGGAGGGCCGAGGCTTAGAGAGGTGAAGGGCCTCATCCACAGCCAGAGGGACCTGGGGCCTGCTCCATCATGGACGGTGACGGGAAGCCGCTTATGTCAGGGAAGGGCTCCCCAGGCCAGTTCTGCGGTGCTCAGCCCCATCGAACTTCCGGCAGCCTTGGCTATGGTGACAAATCACAGATGGGAACCAGCTGTTACTGTCTCTGAAAGAAAGCAGGAAGGCCCCACCCCAGGCCGTGGCTGATCACTATATATCACATGTAAAATGCAGGCGTCTGAGGTAGCACACCTGGCTCTCCAGTTCTCCTCCTCCCCCTCCATGATCCTCAGTTAATTATTGAGAAGGTAGAGTGAAGGTTGCTCCCCTGAGAAGGGGGCACTCAGGAGGACCTCGAGAGCTGCTTCAAGGTGTTGCTGTTAAGGCACAGTGCAAAAGCTGGTCTTCATAACAGGTGAGAGCTGGCGGGTGAGACATTTTGTGCGCTTGCCCTCTCCTTCGTGGCACCGGGGTTGCCAGCTCAGATGCAGGCAGGATGGTTGTAGGAGAAACCATTGTGGCAGCACGGGGATGGATGCTGCCGCCTCTCAGCCTTGCTGTGGAGAGGCATCAGGGAGTGGTGGGGTCTGTGGTGGAACCTCTAAAGGGACAGCCACTACGTGGGACCGCTGGCCCAGGGTTGCGGGGTACTCTGATTGTTCAGGAATAGCTGCAAATCCATGTTGTTTGTGATCTTTCTTGATGTTTAAGTTTTAGAATCAAATTCAAGTATTTAAGCACATTGCCAGCCACCAGTGTGCACCCCTGTTTCAGACTGCCAGGAAAGCCATTTTGAACAGCTTTGGGGCTTGCAGGGTGAAGCCCAGCTCCCTGGACTAGTGCAGGCTCTTGACAGCACTGGTCAAGGATCGTCCAGCCTCTTGCTCTGGATCGTCACCCATGAAGAGTGGTCTACAGGCCTGGGTAGGTCCCTGAGCATGAGGGTGCATGAGGTGTCCACAGGAAGCCTCTGATTTTCCCCAGGGGAGGGGACAATGTCCTAGGGGGGACTTGTCCACAGGGCTCTGATAAATTCTGTGTGTGCCATCCACCTCGACCTGCCAGAGGGCCGGACCGCCTGGGAGATGGATGCTGGCCGTGGCATGGAGCAAGGCAGGGGCTTTAACAGGTGGTTTGTGAGGGCCGATGGGTCCCCAGTGACCGTGCTCCGTGGAAATGAGGCCCTGTGTTGACAGAGCTGTGCCTTCCTGTGCGCCAGAGCTGCATTTTGAGCTGGTGACACACAGCCACGCTGTGTCCCCTTTATTTCTGAGGCTCGGAATCAGGATGTCCTGATGAGAATGTGGCACTAATGGGTCTCCGTGGGGAAGGGCGGATGGAGCTGCCAGGCTGGGGAGGTTTGCAGCCGCAGGGGTAACCAGGGCCCTCTCAAGTGGTTGTGATCAATAAAAGATGCTATTGCCCTACCAGGACTGGCAGACGCCCGGCCTGCTGTGGGTCGAGCCTCAACCGCTCTGTGTGTCCCGCAGCACTGGGAGGGCTGCCTTGCCCTCCATTATTCCTAACCAGCACCTCTTGAGTCGTTGCCAAGAGAAAACCATCAGCCGGCACGTTTGTTATCCTCCCCTCTCCCAAGGACAGTAGCACACACAGTCCCCGAGTGCCTGGTGCTCTGGCGCGGCTGCCATAATTGACGGATCGTTCTGTGCTGATGAATGTCGACCCTTCACGTCCACGGAACAACACGCCCAGGGCCCAACACATCTCTTTCCTTTTAATGAGCTTCCCCCTCCAGGGGGGCCTGGGGGAGTGGCCGGGACTCAGCCAAGCCACACAGAGGCCAGGGATTCAGTCGTTCTCAAAGCAGTTACTGAGTGAATGTGGAGGGTCCTGGGAGATGGAGCCTCAGGCACGGCTGGTGGGAGGGTGGTTGGTACATATGGAGGGACATCTGGCATGAGCATCAAAAACCTTGACAGAGGATATGGCTTTTCACCCAGCAGTTTCAGATTCGTTTTTGTTTTTTATTTATTTTATTTTTGTGTGTGTGTGTGAGAAAGATTAGCCTTGAGCTAACATCTGTGCCCATCTTCCTCTACTTTATATATGGGATGCCGCCACAGCATGGCTTGATAAGCAGTGCCTGGGTCTGCACCCGGGATGCAAACCTGCGAACCCTGGGCCGCCAAAGCGGAGTGTGCAAACTTAACCACTACGCTACCAGGCCAGCCCCTCAGATTTTTTTTTTTAAAGAAAATAAATTTTTTTGTCATAAGGAATTTATTTTAAGGAAATAAAGGCTTATATAAACATGTTCATCAGAGTTATTTATAATGGTTAAATCATTACAAATGATTTATATCCAATAGAGGAATGGATAAATAGGTTACATTGTATCTGTATATCTGTGAAGAGAGCCTTGTACAGCCATAGGTTCAGCTCTGGGCTTTGCTCTTGTTTAGCTGTGGACCTGGGCAGATTCTCTGACCCATAAGCCTCCCTGGTGAAGTCTGGACATTCGCAGCACAGACTTCGTGGGCGGTTAGACGAGACGACGTCTGAAGGGACTGACACAGGCCGTCGTCAAGGGCCTGTTGGGGGTTTACCATGCCAGTGGTGGTGACTGGTAAGATGGCGTGTTTGAGGAACATTTAATGGCAGGGAATAAGTGAAGTGTGGAGCTTCATACGATCCAGATGTCATTACAGGTCTCTGTTTCTGTGTGCAGAGAGAGAGAGTCTCGGGATGGGACTGTAGGTGTATTTTCTCTTTTTATAGTTTTCCATATCTTCCAGGTTTTCTCTGGGAGTCTCTCGGTATTAAAAAGCATATATATATGCATATGTCAAAACTTATCAAAATGTGCACTTTGAGTACATGCAGAGTAGAGTATGTCGGTGATAGCTCCATGAAGCTGTTCACACAGCAAACAACAGATCCCCTTAGTCTCGCCTGGGTGGGATGTTAGAGTTTAGGGTGGAGTAGGGGGGAGGGGCAAGGGCTGCAGAGAGGAGACTGTTCTCTGGCCCAGGGGGCTCAGATACAGTAGGGGCTGCGGTCGCCAAGACGCAGGATGGACTGAGGGGTGGGGGCCAGGAGAGGAAGAACGTGCTGCCACCAGGGTGGTTGGCACTCGTGGGTGCAGATCTCATGGCTCCTGCGTGTGATGGGCGCTTTGCCAAGGGAATGATGGCTGTCGGTGGGGCAGTAGAGGAGGGAGTGGACGAGCCTGCCTGGAGGCCAGGGGCCTGCATCCTGAGTATGAATTGAGGAATCAGCTAAGGTGGGGAGAACGCATTCCAGACAGGGGTGAGAGCCCAAGCAAAGGCACAGAGAGATCAGCTTGCAGGGCACACTGAGTCAAGGGGTTGGGGGAGGAAGCAACCAGCATGCAAGGGCGTAGGGCCTGAGTGGGCCGAGGTGGAGGGGTGGAGAGTGGAGAGGTGGGGTAGGGGCCAGAGGGTGGGGTTGGGGGCGGCCAACTCCGTAGTCTAGGACATGAGTGGGCGGCGGGGAGGAAGGTGTCTGCCCTGGAGATGGGAGGCTGGTGAGGCCAGTGCCCGAGAGGTTGCTGGAACGGGTCTTTCAGGAGGGACTTGGCAGGAACCACCGAGGTGCTGACCTTGGAGGGTAGGCGGGTCTGGCCGTTCGGAGTCCGAGATCTGTGTGGGGCCTGGAGGCAGGGCAGCATGTGGGGAGTGTGCCAGGTTCAGGTTTGAGTCCCTCTCTGCCCTGAGAGCTGCGTGGCTTTCAGAAGTCCTTTGTCCTCTGTAAGCGTTACTTTCCCCTTCAGCAGGATGGGGACAACATCACCGCCTGTTTTAAGGATCTGCTTGATAAATCACTTCTTTGTGGTTGCTCTAAAGTGGATTTTTCTGTTTGACCTTTCAGATCGCCAGTGTCCTGACGTCCCAGAGCCCGTCTGTTGTCCTCACCTTGGTAGGTGGTTGGTGTCGTGGGACCAGGCAGAGTTCGGGTACGGGGAGGGCTGTTAGAGGGCCGCCCACCCCTGCAGAGGTCGGGCCGTGGTGGGGGTTGGGAAACCAAGAGGAGCTCTCCTTGCTGATAAGCAGGGACATCTTCTCAGTCTGAACGGCTGAACGCGTCCAGGACTGTGTCCTCGATTCTCCAGTCTTTCTGGGATGTGCTGTGTCCTGTCGTGAGGCCGCCGTGGACAAGACACCACACCTACTCCAAGGGTTAAAACCCGGCTGGAGGATGTGTTCAGGTCAGGCTGAGCTCCTGGGATTTGTGGGTGCAGAATAGCAATTTGCTTCCACCCTGTGTCTCCTCTATTGTTAATAGAATTTGAAAAACACACCCTTGGCATCTGCCTGTGAGGTTGCTGGGCTGTGTGGTGTCAGATTTTGAACCCGGGGCACTGAGTGACCAAGGGCCTGCCGCAGCGTGAGCCAGGCGGGGTGCATGGTGGGCCCCTTGTGGCCTGGCAGGGCCGTGGGGCCCTCGGGCTGTGAAAAGGCTCCAAGAAGAAGCCTGCTTTCTTGCCCTTCTTTGGCCTTGGGGAGTTTCCAGTACGAAGAGTCTACAAGCCTCTTCCCTCCCAGAGTCACCCTTCTCTCCTTTGTTAATCGATTTTTACAGAAATAGTTTTCCTTGGTTATTTTTTTAGCACTTCACGCAGTCACGCTCTTCCTCGCTGCTGCTTTGATGGCTGAGCAGGAAGGTTATGTTAGATGATTGTGGTCACAGATGGTCCAATGTGTTTTATTCGGGGGATCCAATTCGACATCGACCTGAAGTTCTGGAGGAAGAAGGGCCGATTTAAAATGCCCTGCCTCTCTGGGGATGGCACGTTTTTCTCTGAATCCCTTGTTTTGTCCCTCCTCCTATCTGACTTCCGCTTGTGGTCTCCTTACAACTAGGGAGAGGAGAGGAATGTAACACAGGGTCCTGGTGTCACCGAGAAAGGCCTTGCCTGCCTCAGCCGTGTCCTACCCGCATCCTGGAAGCCTGGGTTTGACAGTGCTCTGTAGGACACTGTCTGTGGGGAGGTGTGCGCACATGCGTGCGTGGAAGATGGGCCAGCCTAGGAGGGCGCGTTGGTTGGGGGTGCCTGTGCCCAGGCAGTCTGACTGGTGTCAGCAAAGGGCTCTGGGGGAGGAGGCCTTGTGTTCCTGCTTTTCAGGCTGCAGCAGGGACGGGAGGGCCTGCGCTCCTGCTGGGGCCTGGCTTGGGTTACCCGAAGGCGGAAAGGGATGGGTTGGCTGGGCTGGGGTGAGGGCTCCTGGTTCTTCCCCGGTGCTGAGCCTGGCTGGAGGAGGCTGGCCCTCCCGTGCGGGCTGTGGGGACGCCTTATCTGGGCTCTCACACTCCCTCTCTTTCCCCAGCGTGGCGTCAACACTGACAGTGGCAGTATCTGCCGGGAGGCCTCCTTCGATGGCATCAGCAAGTGAGTCCTGGGGCCCTGGGGCCTGTCTTTCTCATTCTCCACCAGGTCACATCTTCACCAGCAGGCCTTGCCCAGTCTACAAACTAGACGCGAAATACACAAGCAGGAGGGCGCTAGAAAAGGAGAGAGATTGGGCATTTCAAGGAAATGCTTAGAAAAATAAATTGCCTAAATTCAGTTCAATCTTTACTTTAAGGAAGGGACACCACTTCTCTGTGGCGCTCCGTAATGGAGGTCCAGGCCCCCGAGTGCATAGGGAGCCCTGGCCCGGGTGCATGCCCAGGTGGGTGGCTGTCTTCCCTCCAGAGACCTGCTTGGTGCTCTTTGTTCTGATCAGCCCCCTCCCCTCAGTCCTAGCCCACTCTCAACAATATTCCCCTGTGGTCCCTGCTGCCCCAGCCCCAGATAGGGGCCCCCTTACCTGCCCTCATTCCCCAATTTAGCTCCAGGCCAAGCCCCAAACCCCGTTCCCCCTTCCCGGCCGCTCCAGGCAGAAGGGCAGGTGTTGGGCGCAGGGAAAGCAGCGCCCGCCCCGCCCCTCACGCCCTGGCCCCTGGAGGGTGCTGCCTGCCAGCCGTGCCTGTGTCCCTGTGCTGGCTGGTGACTGGCCCTGGGGGTGGTCTGTGGGCCTGGAGGCTGCAGCAGATGAGCCCTTGAGGGGAGGCACCTGCTCCCCCCGGGCTGCTGAGTGGGGACAGCTCCCAGCCCCTCCCCCACCACACTGCGTCCTCTGTCGTCCTTTGGTGGATGAGGCAGTGGCAGAGGAAGCGCCTTATAGTTATGTATGAGCGTGAGCCACGGGAGTTTGTGCGTATGTGTGATGTAGGGTGATTAGGAAGGATTACGAGCTCATAAATATGTATCACTTCCCCCAGTGATGAGAGCGATGGGGCAGGGGGGCGGGTATCAGCTTTGTTTCCTTTCATTGCACAGATCTCCTCATCCTCTTGGGAGTTTCCCCAGAGTGGCCGTGCCTCCCACACCGTGGTGATTAGCCCGGCCCAGCTGGTTGAAATGCTGGCCACTGAGCCGCTGTCTTTCCTGGGCCCTTGAGGGGGCAGGGGGGGGCGCATCCTGCTGTTGCTGCCTCTCCTGGGCTGAGACCCCCTGGTGCCCCCAGCACTGCCAGGTGTTGGTGCTGGTGCTCTGGTGCCCTGCTCACCTGCCTGGACCAACGCCACAGAATGTCTCTACTGTCCCAGTCCCATGGGCCAGCCCCTCCCACCCGTGAGGAGGGCCCTGAGCTGGGAGGAGGGAACCCTGGCGGCTGCCACACCGCCTGGTATGACCTTAGCGGAAATTGCCCTCTGAGCCTCGGCTCCCCCACGTGTAGCATAGTGCTGCTTGGGCTTGTTATGGGGATGAGATGAGACCGCACTCGCTCATCTGGAGCCAGGCGTGGAGCTGGTGCTTAGTAAGTGGTTGCCCACAAGCAAAGCACCATAGAGCTCCAATGCCCCTCCGGGCTTCATTGTTCCCATCTGTGCAGTGGGCCAGGTGGACTGCAGACTCACTGATTACAAGATTCCTGGATGTCAGTGAGCTGTGGGGTCTTTCCTTGCCCCCTCCAGAAGTCTCTGCTGCAGAAGACCTCCTCAGCACGCTGGGAACAGGTCCAGCGGTGGTGTAGTGGGTGTGGTTCCTTCAGTGGGAGCTCAGGATGTGGCCCCTGGAGCAGAGCTCTTCTGGCTGCTCCCTAAGACTTCTTGGAGAGAGGTGGGGGTGGGGGTCCCAGGGACATCGTCACTGTGTATGGGCACTGGAAGCCAAGGCCTCGTCCCCACCCCCTGGGAGGAGTCCTGCTCTGAACCCGACCTCTCCCTCCGCTAAGCAGACCCCAGCCTCTGTCACCTGTTGCTCCCGGAGTCCCCATGGCCCCTGCCAAGAGCCCAGAGGAGCCTGTGCTCGGCCAAACCCCCATCCCACTGGATCAGCATTAGGGGGCTTTTTAGGAGAGCTAAGGACTGCCTTAACTTTGCACACTCTCCCCAGACACTGGGCTGGTCCCCTCCAACCCGTGGTCCAGTCCAGAGCAGGACTGACCATGGGGTGCTCCCCAGGCCCCTCAGTGCTGGGCTGGGCCTAGAGCCTGACCCCGGCGGGTGCTGGGGGAGTTTGTTTCCACACCCACGTGTCGGGCTGAGTTTTCTGACTTGGCTGATGTACTGCAGGTGAGAGCCCTGTGTGTCTCTGCTTTGGGGTCCCCTGGCCTGCTTGTGGTACTCACTCCTCTCCCATCTCCTCCAGGGCTCGTCCCCTCATACCTCCCCTCTGGGCCTTGCGTCCCCTGTGGCACCCTTCATGTAGTTCTGTCCTCAGGGGTTGCTCCATTTGGGTGCTCCCACCCCGCACGCCATAGGTGCTGACCTCGGGCCACCTGCCTGCCCTTCCCTGCGGAAAGTCATGTCTGTATTCCCTGGGTCTGGGTGCAGCTCAGCCGCCTGCCCCCCACCCACCCCCCTGCCAGCACCTCAGCTCTGCCACCTCCGGGCCTCTGTGCCTGGCTGGGGACACCCTTGTCCTCAAGGGCCTCTGTGGCTCCGTGACCTCGTTCACCTGCCTGCTGTGAGCATCTCCAGCTGTTTGCTGGGGATAATAATAGCCCGGTTCCTAAGTAAGATGAATCTTGCTGTCGTCCCACTTTCCAGTGTGCAGCTGCCTCCATCACTAGTCGCTTCTCACTGCCCCAACGAGGCGCCTTATTCCTGGAATTTGTGTTTTTGACCCTTTTGAGCTTCTCTGAAACCCCTCCCGTCTTGGATCCTTGATTGAGTTGCGTGGGCAGACGTTCAGGTTTGGACTCTCCGTTTGTCCCGATGGGCCCTCCCAGGCCACCTTTATCCTTGGCCTGGGGGGGAGGGAGCTTGTGGTGGGACAGTGGCCTCACCTGTCCACCCATGCCGGACCCTCCGGGCCCTGGTCCAGCTGGGCAGTTGGCCTGTGAGCTCTCCAAGTGTGGCTCCTTGGGGTTGGCTGCCTCAGGTCTGTCACCTTAGTGGGGCTGTGGGTTTGGTGCTGGGAGACCTCAGCCGTCCCTCAGCCTTCCCAGATCAGGGCCAGGCCACCTGCTGCCCACAGCAGGGCGTATGCCAGGTCTCACAATGGTGGGGATGGTGGAGGACCCGGAGCAGAGGGAAGAGGGAGGCAGAGGCCAGGTGGGGGTGGTAGACGTGCACTGGGGTCTCCCCATGGCCTGGGGCCCCTGGGGTCACCAAGGAGTGTGGCTTTATCCTCCCTGTGGAACCAGGGGTGTGATTATGATGGGGTGAAGGGCACAGGTGGGGACAGTGTGTCAGGTCTTATGCTGGTTTGGGCCCTGGCCCAGGACATGGCTCCATGTATGGGGGGATTGGAGCAGGGACAGCTCACAGGGGCGGTGTGGAAGGAGCAGGCCCTGCTGTGGGCTCTGGCCAGAGGATAGGGTCAGGTGCCCATTGCCAGATCCTGGTGAGGGTGTGGCCAGGGCTGGTCTGGGCCTGGGACCAGGCGAAGCTGAGATGGAGAGGCTAGCGCTGCAGTAAAGAGGACACGAGGCTTCTTCCTGTGGGCTGTGGGCACCACGGCTGCCTGGAGCGGTCGGTTCCTGCAGCTCGGGACCAAAGTCAGACACGATAGATCTTTGTTAGCGTCTGAGGAGGTAGACTTGAGAGCAGATTTTCCCGAGAGAGAGACTGACTATGAAGGGAAAGAGATGATCTGTGGGGGGCCGGGGGGCCAGGTGGCCTATGGGGGTACCTTCCTGGCCTGAGACGGTCCCCTTCAAGGCAGGTGGACTCTGTGCCCGGGTGCCCAGATGGGTCAGTGAGGACAGAGGGCTCTGTTTCCTGCCATCGTTTGACAGAGAGAGATGGTAGATATTTTACATCAGCTGGTTATTCAGAATAAGCATATTTCTTTTCTTTTGGCATTTACTTAAATTGCCTTGCATATTTGAAGACAATTGGTTACAAATTAATTCCATTTAAATAAGTAGTTAAATATGAAATTGCTGAATTTTGGGTTTATTAATGCAGGAATATTAATGTTCAAAAATGTGAATTTTTAAACTCGTGAAGTAGACATTATTAAAATTTGACGATTACAGCAGAATGCCAGTCTGTGGTGTGGGAACCAGGGCTTTCTGGTTACTGTTAACTTACCTATCAAGTTAATATTTAGAATTGGACTTCTAATTATGGCCCATGGAATCTACATGAGGAGGGGGATCCTAAAGAGACAAGAACCCACCCCAACCTCCCCCAGGGGTGGGGTGCGGGGCCTTCCAGGCTGTTCTCTGGGCATGCCTTGATTCCCTCCATGGGTTAGAAACTGCAGGGAGGAGGCTGGGGGCCAGGGCAGGGGTGGGTGGGCCCACACTGCTCACCCTTCATCCCCCAGCCCACAGATAGAGCCCACCAGGGAATCACCCTCTGCTTCCAGGACACTCCCACCCTCATGGGCTCTGGTGGGCTTGTGTTGTTAGATAATTACTACATGCTCATTGTACAAAATACTAACTAGCACAGAGGCAAAAGCAAGGAATATCTGAATTTCGTTACCCTGAGTTAGACCCTGTCAACACTGTGGGGAATGTCTTTCGGACGCTTCTATACGTGTCTGAGTGTGTTTCTCTGAGTGTGGGTTTGTGTGCATCTGTGTGTTTCTATATGTGTATATATTTGGGTGTGGATCTTTGTGTGTTAGTCTAAGTGTATGCCTGTCTGGGTGTGTGTGTGTGTCTGCGTGTGTCTACATGTCTCTGTGTGTGTGTGCCTGAGTGTGTGTTTGTGTGTATGTGTCTGCCTTTGTGTGTCTGTGAATATACCTCTGTGTATGTCTCTGAGTGTGTTTCTGTTGTGTATACATCTTTGTGTGTCTGCGTGTGCCTCTTTTCTAAGTGTGTGCCTGCCTGTGTGTCTGTGTGTTTGCATCTCTGTGTGTGTGCTGGGTCACTTTGCTGCTCGGGGATGCGTGGGTGCATGTGTGTATACATCCGTACATTTTGTAAAGTGAAATTTTGC